TTAATTGACGTCAAATTTATTCGGCTTCTTTCAAACGCACAACTGACGTTTTGAGAATTCTACGGTGAATGGTACGCACATGATTTGCACGCATGTGATATTTACGTCGTGTTACCCGTTGTCAAGTTTGTCGCTAACGCTGAGGGTAACATTACGGATTGTTAAATGCGTCTAAACCAATCAAATTTTAGTATTTAACATGAAAATATAAGATATTAAGTATTAATCGCTAGCAGAAAAATTCGACCCTGGATACAATGTAACACGAATCAAATGTAAAGTAAATCACTCTAGTCTCATGTCATTCACAACACAGGTGATTATTTGACCCTTTAAACAATCCCAACATTCTGATTTGTTTTGATAAATTAAATTAATGGTGTCAGTAGTAGTTTCAAATGACTGATTTGAATTCCATATATGTGATGTATTAAAGGTAAACCGATTTAATAGTAACGTAGGTCACAAAAATGGAAATTTTGAATTCTAAAACTTTACTGGAATTTTTGATTTTTCACATTTGTAGAAGACAGAAAATACATATTTTCTTACAAAGCAATATATTTTCAGCAAGGAATTATATTATTTGAGCATCAAAGATTATAGTGTTTCTTGGCAAAAGAATTTCGTAGCGTTATACTTTTTTGTAAAAGTGAGATATTACAATTTTTTTAATTAGCTCTAATCTGGAAGCTGCTTTCTAATACATTTTTACTTTTTAATTTCTGCGATATGAATTGATGAAATTTATTGGCTAAGATTATATTTGTCAAACAAAGATGCAATTTTCTGTGCATACCATCAGTCTGTGACACGAGTTTTCTGAGAGTTTCTTGATACGTTTATGTTTCAACATAGCGTATAATAATATATTTCGTGGTGATTTATTTTTATTCATTGGAATAAAACACTCTTTTCGTATATCAAACATTTGTGGGTTGTCGTTTTTGTTTGTTTGTTTGTTTGTTTGTTTGTTTGTTTTGTTTGTTTGTTTTGTTTTGTTTTGTTTTTTGTGACAAGAAAATTTAAGATTGGCTCGACTTAACTGAATTTGAACGATATATAAAACTGTTTTGCATATTTAATGACATTTTTCCCTTTGATTCCTAATTAATATGTCCTAATCACAAATAATGATATTGCTCGATAACCTACGTTATATCTAATTATGACATCTTTAGAGCTAATAACAACACTAAAACTTTCAATATCTATTAAAAATGTTAAGAATACAATTAACAGCTACAATGAAATCATGAAAAACGCAATTTTAATTTCAATAAAAATATAATTAACAATTGAAGTATTTCTTATTAGGTTAGCACTAGTTGGTACAAAGTAAAGGACAACAGCTTATTTTGGAAGATAGCCGACTTATCTGTACCTTATACCATCTAGTGCTAGCCTTCTTATTATCATTTGTATTTGTTCGATTTAATTATTCAGACTTCCAACAAGACAGATAAGTATACACATATGTGTTTGAAGCGTTTATCTGGTTATTTTAACATTTACGTACTCGTATAATGAACTTTTGTCTACAATGGTATTCATCATCAACTACATTTAAAGCGTTTCCCAATTTAAAGGATTCGTACTTTCAATTTCAAAGAAAATTGAAACGATTGCTAATTCAAGACAATATGACTCCGAGTCATTGAATATCAAACATTTGTTCTTCGTCATTTAAATAGCATTAAATATATTTTTGGAATGATAAAACACAGTTTAAGAAGTTGAATTACTCTTGTAAAATCCTTTAATGATTTCAGAGAGATAAATCACGTTTAAGATCAGTGCCCATTCACAGCAGGAGTTCTGTCAGTTCTGTCAGTCGGCCAAAGTATAAAACCTGCCTAATTACCTTGTAATTAATAAAATCCCACATAAAAATTCCAGTAGTCTTATTTAATAATGTAAAGCTTCTAGAACAGAGAGAGAGAGAGAGAGAAGGGAGGGGGGATAAGCATACTAATTTAAATTATGGTATTACTTATTTGGTAGATCCGACTCTTCTTGTCTTTTTATATATATTTGTCTTAATTTTGTTTCACTTATTTTAATACTATAAATTAAGAAAAAAGCCGAAATGCATTTTTTTTCTCTCAAAATTTGAGAAGAACATAGACAAGACAATGCATTAATATTCATCAAAATTATATAGTGTGTTGCCACATAATATGTACGAGAGTTTACACACTTTTAGATCTTAAGGGTTTATCAGTATGTAATATAAATTTTTTCAAATATTTTATGTCATTAGATAGGTCTGATAATTATTTCTAAAATGATATCCAAGAGTGGTTTCACATAGTGAAAATTAGGGATGTCAATTTTGTCAATAATTCATATTCGAATATTCAATGAAAGTATTCGAATATATTCGAATATTCGATAAAATAAATAAAATCTGTTTTATCTTAAATATGCATCATCCTACTCTCATGAAAGCTTTAGCGTAGGTATGCTTATATTGGAAGTAAAATTGTATGAAGACTTTTGTAGGTGTACAATGAGAAATTCCATTTGATATTTCTCAATGTTTGAAATAAATAATTTATTTAAATGTAGAAAAGTATAATTTTAACAAATGAAACGTGTATTTATAGTAGCTCCAACTGAGGAACCAGTCGTCTTACAAAAGGCAAGATAGTCGTAACGGTATACTGTTCAGATTTCAATACGTGTAATAAATTACAATTATCTGCCTGATAAGAGATATGATTATAATCTTTGATACAATGTAAACAAATATTTCCATAGACAATTTTCCTAGGTAATTAACTAATTTCCCGATAATGAATATAAAATTCATGATTATGTACAACCCGAGATAATCATGTTATTTACACATTTATTCTGAAATTAAGCCCTTTACAATATTAATTACAGATTAATTCTATCGGACATTCATTCAATGATCAATTAATTTTATTTTGATAAGTATACTCTTCACGCCTTTTAGACATTCTTAGGTTTCATTTGTTGTCCTCGATTCTAGATCCGATCGTATCTAACTAATAAAAACTATGAAAGTACGTTTTGTATTATACATAAAGCATTATTGTACAATTCTTTAACATCTTACTCAAAACAAAATACATTGTATTTAGTAGATTTATAAGCTAAGAAAGTAGTGAAAGAAATCAGGCGATCGAAAATGATCGCTAGTAAATTAAACAGGGATAATTCCAGCACTGTTCTAATAAAAATTTATTAATCAATTGAAGTACTTCTTTTTATGAAATCTGAAAATACCGAATATTCGAATCTTAAATTCATATTCGAATATCAACTCATCGAATGAATATTCGAATGTTCGAATATTCGTTGGCATCCCTAGTGAAAATAGTATTTATTCATATGTTATTTTATCTGATAATACCCCAAAACTCCACGACTTCCGAATCTGAAGTTTGGACTCAAAGAAAGTTATATTCTAACTGCAAAAGCACAATCGAGATCAATTCGAAAAGATAAAATCCTGAAGACAGCACGTGAAAGTAATGATTGCTGATCACAGACCAGATGAGGATTTCATTGTAACGTCCTTGATAAAATATATACGTCCTAGCAATGCAAAAAAATGTAGCAGATAAAGAAAGACAACTTTTTTCCAGCACTGAATGTTACTCAGACATTCCTTTGATTTATTATACGAATTCTAATTGTAGACATTTTTAAAGCTTGTATTTCCAACACTGTTTTGGCAGATTTAAAATGAAATACTAAAAGCGTTACTGTGAAAAGTAAATTCTCTAAAATTACTTGTCGTATACTAGTTGAGGTTTTTGTCTAAAAATATCCAAACTTCAATATATGACACAAGTGTTAACTTGCAAATGGAGTAATACCTGTATTAAATATGGAAAATATAAGAAAGATTGTTAAGTGTTAATGTAAATATATTTATTCAAAGAGACTGTGAAAGAGACAGTATGAAATAGTGACCACTTAAACTTTGTTTCTTGACGTAATTTATTTCAAAACAAATAAATGACTTAGTAAATAAAAAAAAATGAATACTAAGAATTTGAACAGAAATCATTTAGATGTATTATGCTATAATAAATTGTCACATTCATAAATTACACAAGATAATGCTCAATAAATTATTGATTAAAAGTTACAGAATTGTTACAACTAAATGTCTAAATTGTGTGATGTATATTGCAACTTTGTTATGATTAGTAAATATTTTCAAGGAGGGGTGTCTTGACATTTTAGAGCATTGAGATTACCTCTATTACAAAGTCTTAGCTGGTTTGTTTCTTTTTCTCTAAATGTGCTAAGGCCACACCAATAAATTTTTTTTTGTTCGTCGGACCCGCGCGCTCGTATTTAAGCAAAATTATACAAATAATATTAATTTCAGTTTCCTGCACCAATTCTGTGCTATTTTCTATTCCATTTGCGCTCTTCTTTTCGTATTTTAAATCTGCTTACTCTGCAAATCATAAAAAATATATTTGTCCGCTCAAATTTTTTCATGCTCCGCCTAAAAATTTTGCCTTCAAAAAAGTAATAATATTATTATTTAACCGCTTGCCTGCTCGTACTTTTTTTCATCAAATGTCCGACGAACAAGAAATTAAATTGGTGTGGCCTAATATACAATGTATATGTATATATATATATATATATATATATATATATATATATATATATATATATATATATATATATATATATATATATATGTACATATATATATTGAAGTTTTGCATTAATATCGTATTTCTTTTCTTCTTGTATTTGAATAGCATTATAATAATCACATTTCTTGAAATAACCCCAAAAAGCATATATTTTCTTGCATCACAACTATATTATAGGTCTATTATCCAAAATAATGCTAATTACATAATCATATACTGAGAAATTATCCTGCATCAATTGAAATGTTATTAGGGGCTAAAAGAAACCTTACTCAACTCTTCTACTTGAATAAAAAATAATACCAATTTGTAAAGATAATAAAATAAACATTATAGATCGATTCAGCAAGTCCTCGTGCAGTGTGATTTTCAGTTTCCTTTTTCAGGCCGCAAATCAATGATGTTAAAAATTTGTCACGTAAAAAAAATACATAACAATGAAGTCAGGCAAAACATTAGCATAAAAAGTGAAGAGGAAATATGATTTGAAATGAAAATAATAAATAAATTAAATGGATCAATGTTTGAGCACCACAGCAGAGATCTTGTAGAACCTTGGGCCTCTTCGTACCAATTCAATGAGCAGCAGAGACGGTTAATTCATGGCAAAGTGCAGAAGTCCTGAAATAAAGAGGTGTATGATTGATCTTTACATTAGTGATGATTGAATACCTTAGTTTCTTGATAAGATATTAAAAGTCATTTGTACAACATAGCTATATTTGTCTCTAATCCACACTAGTACTCTTGATATAAGTATCAATGCAAAAATACATCATCAAGAAGAAAAAATGCTCACTTTAGTCACATTGTTAATTCTGACCTTAACATTTTTCGGAATTAAATATCTTGGATTATAACTAACATATGGCCCAATCGTGGGTGAGGTTTTGGGAGGTCTGTTTATATTTTAATTAAGGTAATACATACCAGCCACGGCAGACTGGAAACCAGCATTGTAATCACAAGCCACTTCATTGGTCCTGAAATTGTCTCTTCTGTCCTCATAGGAATCATCCAAACCGGGACCCCCCACGAGCGCGCCCTCCAAAACCTGTGGATTTGGGCCTGGGATGGTGTAGTCATCCCAGGTACATGAAGCCGGCATATCTCTACAAGAACTGATAAAAAAACTGAGACTTGTTATGTAAAGAAGAACAACGTATTTAACAGTTGTTGAAAATCTGTTCTTCTTTTCAGACTGAATTACAATTTAGCATATGTTAAAGGTATAAAGTTAACATATATTTTTAAAAATATATTAAGTATACAGAATAAACACACTTAGTTTAAACTGTAATATACATATGTACATTATTTATATGCTGAACTTCAATATGCATGAAAAACATTTATTAACATATTGCACATTAAATTTCGAAGTATGTTGCTCGTCTTTTAGTAAACATGCATATGTTTCTTAACTATGATTCAGGGGACTCTGTTGTGTTTTGTATGTTTGTTTGTTTTTGATGGGGAGGGGGGCATAATTCATCACTTTTTAAATATAGTGCAAAGCAAAAAAAGATACCAAGCTCAAAAACTTATTAAACAAGATGAGATACAATGTATCAAGGTTAGAACTGGGGAACAGCATACTCTTAATTCGACTATGATATATTTTGGTTTCTCTACAAGATGCGGGTTCGAAATGTTTCTCTGCAAGATGCGGGTTCGAAATAAATACCAGGTCCTGTTTATACATGTAATACATAGTGAACAAAACCCACCCCATCCCCTTCCACCTAACAGATAGGGGAAATAATGGGCAATACTAGTCGTAAAAAAGGATAAACATTCCACAGATTCAATTTGTACGGAATAATTTACCTTCCACGATGATGTGGTCTCAGTGGATAGCTAGCACCATAACCAATAACGTAACTAAAGCCATTGTTGTTATCGCCCAGCATATAATGAATCTGTGACTCCGCCCACCCTCGATATGTTGCAGCGTTACCAATGCCCACATCAGCTGCCAGAAGGGCGATAAAAGCGGCATTTGCTGAAATCAAACATAAATTCATTTTCTATTAGCTCGGCTTATACAAAGCATTTAATGATAATACAACATATTAATATACACACATTATACAATTACTGACTGGGTTCGAGGGCAACATGCGTTTTGTTGGACGCAAGAACCAAACTGTTTGCCTGAGGCCGTTAGGCCTCAGGCAAACGGTTTGGTTCGAGGGGTCGATAAAACACATTTTGCCCCAGAACACAATCAATAAATGTTTTGTTACACCTTTAAATTATTTATTTATTTATTTATTGGCATGCATGTATCTTGTGCTGGCTTCCATGAAGTAAAATTTCCTTTACTCGCACTGCGGTAAAACTCGGTCAATTTTGTCACTGTCGAACACCAACGAATGCAAATAAGATTTAGTTGATCCCGCCCACGGTGTGATGTAAGCGGTCCAATATCTCTTCGACAGGTCTAATATCTCACTCTGCGGTCAAACATTGCGATTTTTTATGACCGCTCAATAGAACATTGGAAATGTTAGACTTTTAAGTATAGATTTATACAGAAACCAGTTTTAAAGGTATAAAATTAATCTCTGTTTGAATTAAACCCTCACCAGAGTATCTTAGCGGTCCCCATTCCAACCTCCAGGCAAGTCCCCCAGGAGTATAGGGCAAAGATCCCCCTGGCATATAGGAAGTGATGAAGTTCTCTACAGCGGTTTTATAGCGTGATTCCTTGGTAATTTCATAAAGAATTATCTAGATATAAAATATTAAGTGAAGTCTTAATCATTCTGAAGTAATTTAAAATCCATATATAGTGAATCTGACTTTTAATCATTTAGAAATTTCACTCTTTATTTTGTTACTTGAACCTTTGTATGCCTTCTGGGCGCAAAATTTAAAATAAATACATTACTTACTATATAGTGCTTCTTGTTCAAAATGTATTAAAAATAAAAATCCTTTTAGTCATTTTTTTTTTACAATTTGTATTATCTTTTTCTATATAAATTAAAAAAAATCAATTTTATCAATTGAATAATTTTTATAATAATTTAATATTTCCTACGTCACAGAGCATGGTTTTGTCGTCCCAGTCGTACGCCCAGCCGCTGTGAGAATAACTGTTGTAGAAGTCTATCGAGTCACTTAGATACTGTTGTTTCTGTGTTGCGTTGTAAAGGAGGGCAGCACTAACACACATCTCGTCTTTGTACTCTGATGAACTACAACAGCAATGTTTTCAGTCTGTATGTTTTCTCTAATGTAATATACATAAACAAATATGTAGATTCAGATTTTATTGATGCTATTTATTACTATTGTGTTTTGATTTCGATTGCGTACATGTACTTGCCCCTCCTTTCTACGTACCGATAAAACTTGGCACCTTGAGGAATGTCGTTGTTGTATGTCCCTGGATGTGCCTTTGCGAATGCATAAAGACTCTCAGCACTGACCAGAAGAGTAGATGAATATGAAGGATCTATCGTAACACAAAATGCGGGAAAATAGAGTCCAGACAAGGTGATAATATTCATGCATATTTTACTGAGTTTAATTTTCTGCACAGATTTTTAGTTTATAGAACCAACCTTCATTTTTAAATGCAATGGCGCCTGCTGCCAGCGCTGCTGCAGTTCCTCCTGCTACGTCACTTCCTCTCTTGCTACTGTCGAGGTAATATGGTGGTCGGTCCATGGTCATATCCTCTGGTCGACCCCAGTATGCATGGTCCAGATCACCATTACCCACCTTGAATAAATAATGTTATTTTTTAATCCACTATAATATGTTGACGGTGCGACCGTTGGGGCGAGCGCATTGTTCACTTCATTTTAAGATCCGCCTCTTCAAACCGCACGAGACATTTGGAACGTCTAGACTGTGACGTCGTATGTTATAGTTGCATTCCATTAACAAAGTTTAAAAAGTGCGAAATTTTAAAAAAGAATGTTTAATCTACTATCTGTATGCAATATCCATTAAATTAAGGTGAGTTTATTTTTTGTGAATTTTTAGTTGTTGTTACCGCGCGAACGAAGTTAGCAGCGAGAACAACAAGCGATGCATTGTGGGTCCAGAATTACTGCGGAAAAAAATTCTATTGAACAACACTAAAATGCATAATATATATTAATATGCTAGGGATTTTTTAGCAAGAAGAAAATACACTTAAGTCTAATATACATGAATTTAGAAAAGGTTTCAGCATGTTTACCTGTGCATAATAAATTTGACTATCACTTCGCCAGCATTTAAGAAAGTAGTCAAGCGGCCATTTCAGAGATTTGTACATGTACTGGAGCTGTTGAGAAGCCGCATAAGCGTCTCTCCACTTGTATAAACCCACAGCAAGGTTTGTCGCTGACGCAGACATAGGCAGATTAAACTTGACACCATCCCCAGCTGAAAAAAATTAATCACTATACTATATAAAAAAATATCTTCACATTAATGGACTAGTGACTAGCTGAGGCCAAAATTACTCTGGTTTTTTAACTGGTAGGAAATTGGCATTGATTGGTCATATTTTACCCCTTGAAAACATTTTATCTTTTAGAAAAGCAAAGGTGAAGAGAAAAAAAAAACCCAGACTAATGACGTTTTAATTGATTCAACAAAGAGTACAGTCTTAATAGCTAAATAATATTATCATGATTTCTGGACGAATTTCTTGTTATTAAAAGACAAAAGTTAACATTTTTCGTTTGCTCTTTTTAATTTGCGAGTAAGCATATCAATCCATATCGTTGTCAAGAAAACATAGGGAACTCCTTGAAGTTGGCTTGGACTTACAAAGAAGACAGACGCGACCGCGGATTTGTATGTTATGCGGATAAGGCAAGGTAAGGTCGTTCAATATCGCACTATCGAGCATCGACTATTGAGTGCTATGACAAGTACGCATTGCTGCGATACTGATAACGCGATGCAACGATAGCTCGATGACGATGATGCAAAGACACGATAATGCGATGACGATGGTGCGATAGACCGATGACGCGATAGTGAGTATCTCTTCGACGTCATCGTACCATCGCTCCATATCGTCATCGCATCATCACGTCATTGCTATCGTACATGCACCATCGCGCTATCACTTCATCGTGCTATCACACCATTGCCATCGCTTCATTGACCAAAATGTCGATGGTTCGATGATGCTATAGCTAACTACAATGCTCTATCCAGATTCCACAAATTTGTCTCAAAGTCTTGCAATATGGGACGCAGAAAATAAATAAAAAATTATTATATCTCTGGAGGTAAAAACAAAGTTAGGCAGACCGAAGGAAAGGACTAAATTGTAATGGTCCTAATTGTTAAAGAAAACACAACCTCAGAATAATCAATACAATTATCTTACCATCATACCATCCTCCTGTTAGGTCCTCTCCGTTGATTCCGATATCGCTAAGAGCTGAGTCTCCCCTCCAAGTTATCCGGTGGTCAGGAGGAAGAGCTCCAGACTGCTGGGCCTCGTAAAACAGGATTGATTTCTCCAGGATAAGGCCATAGTTGTGTGGTGTGTTCGGGGGCAAAGTGGTAGTGGTGGTACCGGTAGATGTCGTTGTTGTACTACTACTTCTTGTTGTACTTGTTGATGTTGTTGTTGTTGTACTTGTTGGTGTTGTTGTAGAAGTAGATTGCGTTGATCCTGGCGTAAGATTTCTACTCGAACAAGATCCTATAGGATAATTATCTTTATCGCCGTTGTAGGTGACGATGAAATCAAATTATCACAATCCAGCGGATACCCAATATTTGTTTACGAGTTCGTAATAAATCCCATTAAAATTATCGCTTAGGGCATCCATTAACCAAATCTGAAAACACAAAGTCAAACTCAGGCTCTACAAACCGACATTAAACAACTATTTCTAGCAACAATTTAAAGAAATTCGAACAACGTCATCCAAGTTCATGAATTTTTAGAATTGAAATAAAGAAAATCAGTTACATTTATTTATATATTATATCATGAAGGGATCTGCTAATAGAATAAAACTGAATTTTGTATTCATCGCAGTAGGCATAAATTTAGAATATCAGGCGATTTTAGCTTTAATTCATGACTCATTCGATCTACATTTCTGGAGGAGGAGGTAATCAAATTAAAATTACATCTCTTGCAAATTTTAATCTATACTATTTTTGTTTTCTATTCCTTCGATATAAGTAAGATAAATCTTCTTCGGTGAAACAGAAAAAGTCACATTGCGGCAACAATCTTATGCACTCGTAAGTATTTTGAAATTTTAATCGGTATGATCATTGTGTAAAAAAATGTTTTGCATTTGAGGAAACTACCAAATCAATTAAATCTTAATTTTCTAATCGTGTGATTTATTTGTCCATTGACATTTACTAAAGTTCAATTCCTTTACAAGCAAATACGCTTAAACAGAAATAATTTTAATTTTAAAACACTTTTATTATACATCAAACTAGTTTCAGAAGACGTATCCGGTTTCAATTCATTTTATTTTCTTTACTTGTATTTATATTCTGTAATTGTATCACGAAACTTTATCTTAATTGGCAGTAAAATATTATGGGTTAAATATCTTTTTCTTAACACTTCGTGCGTCATATCTATAAGCTTAAACAGATATAATGAGTCTTGTCATACCTTAATCGAAAGTTTTGAATAAAAGAGTCCATAACTTTTATATACTGTATATAAATTCAATGTACCTTATCAGGAACTCTCAGAAATTCATTTACTTTCAAAATCAAGAATTCTGCTAAAATTTTATGTATATTTATTATTATCCTTAATGTGTATTTCTTTATTGATTTTACTAATTTGTACATTGATTATTAACTCTTATACTATCGAACATCCTATTCAGTGTCAGAATGTCCTATTCATGCATGACCTATTAAATGGGAAGACATCAATACTTTGTACCTTTTGCCTACAAGTTCTTGTGCACGGATCGCCCGGGGCGCGGGTAAAAATGTTAACATCAAAATCTTATTTCTTTTAAGAAATAAACAACAATGTTAAAAAGTTCTCTGGGAAATGAACTTGGTTGGTCACGTGATCAAATCCTGTGAAGCCCGAAGGGCTTCTCAGAAGATTTGATCACGTACCAACCAAGTTCATTTCCCAGTGAACTTTTTAACATTGTTGTTTATTACTTTTATTTATATTTGAGACGGAATATTCTGAGTAGAACTGCATTTATTACACAAACGGCCCGCCGTATTGCTATGTTGTGACGCGCAATGACCTAGAAGCTGTTTGTTCTTCAGAGTTCGCCTCGCTCCAACATTTGAATATTTACATGGATGTTAAGCCGTCCAGTTCAGGAAATAACTGTTCGTAATGAAAAAACAATGATCGCTACTGAGAATAATCTTACTATTATTGTATGAGTTCTTTATATATGAAGTCAAAAGCGGTGGTATATCGTCTTCAGTTTACATACCTTCAAAGGAATTTCGGGTTAAAAAGGTAAGCGTGATTTTAGGCTAATTATAAACATTCTTCACACCCAAGAAAGATATAATTATCATTTGTTGAACAAAAAAAATATATGTTTCAATAATTTTATCTTTTTCATCGCTTTAACGGCTCAGAAGTTCCGAAACAGTGTCACTGTGACAGAAATATGTAGACAAGATATCGTCTTGCTGTGTGATTCGGTCACGCCATGACCTCTGACCCCCTAATAAGTTCATACAGAATTGAACATATTTCCTCTTCAATAGGTTCATCTAAGAAAAATATTTGCAAATGTAAATAAAAAAAATTACATATAATATTAAACATTATACTTTTCATTATTAACAATATTATAATTATTTGTCGAATGCAAGAAATACAATATTATCATAAGGTATGTACATGTACCCACGTGTACATGCAGAATTATAAGATGTCGGTGAATGTATTGTCATATTGTAAATTTTCTATATACTGCCATTTGGTACATATGTATTTACTGCCACCCTGTGAACATAATGTCATATTGTAAATTCATTTACAATATGAATGACAGTAAATACAATATTTACAATATGACAGTATGCACTATTTTAGATTTTTTTTTGTGCGCTTTTATCAACCTTACAAAATTTGCACACACGTGCCTCTCCTGGACCGCCATTCAGTCCAAATCCCTTTATTCAAATTGTGGCTTTTTTAATGTTTTATACGGGATATTTGTCATTCTTATAACTAATGTAGGTAAATTTTCAAATAGAAATTTTCTTAAAAATATGATACATGTACTGTCTTACCTGCAAATTTGATGTTTCCTGGTTTAACATCAGATCAACGAAAAGGGTCCCAGGTGTCCAGGAACTGGTAATGTCAAAGGTGCACTTAGCTTTATACGACCAAGAAGATCCAGTAGGCCATGGATCCTGGACCTTTACAACTGGTACCTGGTAGACACCGCTTCCTGTCGATTGTGACGTGATTGGAGACGGTGTTGTCGTAGTGGTGGTAGTGGATTGAGGGCGTGTCGTTGATGACGTAGTTGTCGATGACGTAGTTGATGACGTTGTTGTCGTTGACTGACCCGGAGAGGGAAGATTAACTATGCATTCCCCTGTAGGAATGCTGTTACTGCTATATTGAAAAATAAAATTTACGGTTTCCACCCCTGCGTGCATTTCATATTTATTGTCCAGTAAATATACCGTGCCGTCATTACTGACATCAGTCACTTTTAATTTCCATATCTGCATTAAATATACACGAAAAAGATATTTTAATGAATATCTATAAACTTATTAAAAGACAGATATTTTTACATGCTAACTAAAAACCATTCAGAAATATGACATGCATGGAATTTACTATTATTATCTTTTGGTTGCTTACTTGTAAGTTGCTTGTTGGTGTGTCAAGTATCATTTCCACTACAATTTGTCCGATTTGGTAGGATTTGTCTACATGAAGCTCGCACTGACCACTGAAATATTGCACTGATCCATCCGTCCAAACTGATTGTTTCTGAACGTCAACTCGATATAAAGCATCTACACTGGCGGCTATCAAAGACAATGCCACTAATCCAAACCTGAAATAAATAAACGCGTCCATTAACACAAATTTAACAAACAAACATATGCATATCAAGTTCAATGCACTTATGTCCACAAGTCAATTGGAGCTTCTATTAATTTATATGTTGTTTGGGTCCTTTTTGCACGGTCTGTAATATTAAGCTTTAAGGTATTTAGAAATAAACTGCCTGTCTAAATTTATATCTATTACAAAAAAAATTATATATTTTTTGCTTGTATCATTGAAGAGATTTCATTTATTTTTTCATATTTACCGAGTCAGGGTGAACTCCCAATTACAATTTTGCATTGATACCCATAAGCAAGTTCAAAATTTCTAATTCATTTTTTTATTGGATACTATTCCTAACATAAAATATAATTTTTATCTTTCATTTTTTAAACCGTTACTTACTTGAACATGTTGCTGCTGTCGCCCAGATTTCTCAGCTGATCTTTCAACAGAAGGCTCGAGTATTTATACCAAAAATCAACCCTTTAATCGTTATACATTCAAAACATTAAAATATATATATATATATTTACGCAAAATGAACATAAAAGCATAAGTTCACTTAAATGGACCGATTTAAAATATTCTTTATGCAAACTTTTCAATTTTTGCTTTCAATCAAATTTTAACTTCAGCCAGGGTTATTTTAACCGTATATATATAGTATTTGCGTGTTTACCTCAAACGAAATCAACAGGTAAACATTCACCTTGAGTCATGTTTCATACGCAAAGCAAGATCCGGAGATTTAAAAAAACGTGACTTTAAGCAAACTTCTAATTCAAATTGGAGACGCACATTCTGTAAATTACAATTAAAAATCATTTTTTCAATGATATAGGATAGAATATAAACTTTCAAAGATAGGCTTTCCTTTTCTCATTTTTACCGCTTGATTGGTTTATCTAATTGCATGTATATGTCCATCCTTTTTAAAGTTGTTGAGATCAGCACGGACCCGGGATGACCTCATTATTGGTATAATTATCTCAATTCAAGTCCCACCACTGTTTTATTTTATAGTTGTTGATGTAAACAAGAAATCGAGAGCACATTCTCTTTACATTCCTAAAATTTAATGCGTGTAAAATATAAAGAAAAAGTAGTATTTGACGAAATATAAAATTCACTGAAAAATAACGTTTAACAATATGTATATATAGAGGATATCTATCCAACAAATTGAAATGGTGTATATTTGCGAGGCTTGCCAAGCGAATATACACCATTTAAACGAGTTTGATAAAGCAATTATAAAATCTCACAATTACAGAAGTTCTATTTATCTCGTATGATTTTCGTTTTTAACAAAACTTAGAGATAACCCCTGTGAAACTATGTTGATTGATTTCTATACCCAAATCATGACGCACAAAATTGATGACGCCGCACAGTTGCCGTTTACATGCCGAGAGAATGTTATCTGTAGATACTAAATATGAATTCTTGGAATGACATTTGCTGCGTCTTTTCAAACATATGTGACGATGTGTTGGAGATTCATTTTATGCAAACTTTTGACTGGAAGTTGTACAGTGTTGTAAGGACCGAGGAATCATAAATCTGAAATAGGAAATCATTCTGTGTATGGCGACAATATTAATGCTAGGCTACTTGTAGAACCATGGTAAGTTATAAAGTATAATGTAAGAAAGCATTGTTGAAAGTGGCTAGACTTTCCTGCATGGTCAAATGAATCGATTTCACCACCTGTTCACTACCAGGTCTAACGTTTCCTATAAGAACGATTGGGGTTTGGGGGAGGCAACATCCGTTATCGCAGTAGTAACAAAAAAAGAAGACATTTCATTGAGGTAATTCATTTTTGCTGATTAGCATTCATTCGATAACGCAAGAACTTTCTCAAATTGAAGTGTTGATGAATTTACATCTTGAAACGAGGAATTGTGCAAAAACCGGAAGTGTTATTGATAAACCATACCCGTGGATAAAGCATACGTATGGTAACTAATTGTTATTTACATGTACATGTTAACATTAACACAAGCTTAGAAAATGCATTTTACTTAAACATCTGAGTCATACAAAAACCGTGTCAGACCGCTGGCAACTAAGTTTTATATATTGGTGAAGTCTATATAAACATACAAACAAAATGAGCAATAATTAGATTTAACAGTTGATGTGAAACAAGCGTGTTTTATTATTGCAAATAAACTAAATGTTTTTTATAACTGAACTAGATTCTCCATTTGTATTTTATTAATACAGATAAAAGAAAATAAAAAAAAAAACCAGATGATAAACAAATATGTTGATGATACAAAATAATCTTGAAATCTTTGTAGAGATATATTTATTTATTGCAATTCACAGGTTTTTATTACTTCTGTACAATATGCTCTATATAGTTACCATAATTATGAACATCTTAACATAATCATGATTTTGAAAAAAAATGAAATCATAATTATGACCAAAGATATAACTATGTACGAATGAATAAATGTATATTTAAATACATGTAATTACTATAGTATATGGGAGTATAGCATTGCGTACCCATTTTGGAACAATGCAGAAACATGAATAAAGCATTCACCACAATAAAAGAGTTCATAGTACCTTTAGAAAAACATCTGAAAAGCAACTTAAGAGAATTCTTACCACCATCTCAATGAAATCCGTCAAAAAAAGAAAAAAATACAAGTACAAAAGATTTGGTTTGATCATATTTTTTGTCAAGATTTTTTAAAAAGAATTGATCGGACACAATTTCTTAAAACTTAGAACGTCATCTTCTTTATGACAATTAATTACATAATAATGTTTAAAAACAAAGGAACCAAAGGTTAATATGATTTGGTCAATATGATTATCTGCATACATAAACTATGCAAACATGTACAAAAAATGATTTGATGTAGTATGTACAAATAAATCTTTATGTTATTGAAAACGACCAGATCTTTTTATAATCAATTGTACATTTGAAAATAACATTTAATTTTCGGAAATAGAGACATCTCTCCATGATTAAAAGGAGTACGAAAGATGAAGCAACCCACCTTTTTAATTAAATTTTCCTCCTTTCAAGTAAAAGATGTAATGACTATAGTTAATAAAATAAGATTTATGGGAAAAATGAAATGCATCATCTGGGCAATGATACATGTACATGTAAGTTACTGGAGAAAAAGAGGCCATTCAATTTCAACGCGGTATGTTTTGTAGAATCCGATGTTATAATCACCACTTATAAATAAGAAAATGTTCCGTATTCCTTTAATAGATTTAGCTACTTATATAATGATTTAGATTACGTATTTGTGTGATCGATATTTTTAATACAAAATATGCTCTTTCATAAGTTATCCATCTATGAATCAAATTTGAAAGAGACAAATCTTGAGACAAAGAACATAACTCTAGAGTAATGTAGATATGAAGTTATAAACATCTAACATTATTTACCTCGCCAAGAGATAAATCAGCTTTTTAAAGCGCTTCTCCTTCCCAGTAAATAACTGGAGCGAAACTTTATTTCAATGAGTGGCGCGTACTTTAAACAGCTGACTAAATCTGATTGTGATAATTGAAAGATAATGATCTATAATCAACAGTCCAAAGCCAACAGAACAGGCAGACGACATTGCTGACGCAGGCAGACGGCGTAAATAGAGCTGTTTAAAGGCCTGAAGTTAACAAATGAATCAGAGCTCCACAGTATTTACTACAGTCAGAAAGTAAACTAAATGCTGTCATAAGACCGTCATACTCGCACTTACATGTAAGTGTTTGCCCCTAAATAAATGTACTCTTCTTCTTACCTGGGTGACTAGAGAAGTATTCTATGATTTACGTAATTATACATGTATCAAATCAAACAAAAAAATGCCTGAAATTGGGAATTTAATGAACCATAAATTCTGTTAAAAAGAAGTTCAGGAAAGAAAAACTTTGGGCTTCTGTGAGAGTTTTTAAATTGTTGACTACCCCCTCCCCAATTAGCATCCTGAAAGAAAATGAAAATTCTCAAACATGATTGCGCGTGTACAGGGCACTACAAATCAATTTGGCTACTGCATATAAAAGTTCATGGAATACGGTTTTTATTAAAACAACAACAAAAATTTTTAAACCCTCAATTTGCCTCCAGGATGAATTGGCGACTGCTGTGAGAGGAGTTTGAGGAAGAAGATAATGCGACAGGGATAGGGACGGACAGACCAGGATACAACAATATACCCGGTCTTTCTTTAATTATAATAATAATATAATAATCTTTAAATTCACAAATGATATAATGAAGTACGTGGGGTGACTTTCCATCAATTAGTGTAATATCTGTATTATTTTATCATTTTAGTTTGTAATATCTGCATTATTTTGTCATTTTAGTTTGTAATATCTGTATTATTTTGTCATTTTAGTTTGTAATATCTGTATTATTTTGTCATTTTAGTTTGTAATATCTGTATTATTTTATCATTTTAGTTTGTAATATCTGCATTATTTTGTCATTTTAGTTTGTAATATCTGTATTATTTTTTCATTTTAGTTTGTAATATCTGTATTATTTTGTCATTTTAGTTTGTAATATCTGTATTATTTTGTCATTTTAGTTTGTAATATCTGTATTATTTTATCATTTTAGTTTGTAATATCTGTATTATTTTGTCATTTTAGTTTGTAATATCTGTATTATTTTATCATTTTAGTTTGTAATATCTGCATTATTTTGTCATTTTAGTTTGTAATATCTGTATTATTTTATCATTTTAGTTTGTAATATCTGTATTATTTTATCATTTTAGTTTGTAATATCTGTATTATTTTATCATTTTAGTTTGTAATATCTGTATTATTTTATCATTTTAGTTTGTAATATCTGCATTATTTTGTCATTTTAGTTTGTAATATCTGTATTATTTTGTTATTTTAGTTTGTAATATCTGTATTATCTTATCATTTTAGTTTTTATATCTTTATTATTTTATCATTTTAGTTTGTAATATGTGTAGGATATTATCATGTAAGTTTGTAATATCTGTATTATTTTGTCATTTTAGTTTGTAATATCTGTATTATTTTGTCATTCATTTTAGTTTGTAATATCTGTATTATTTTATCATTTTAGTTTGTAATATCTGTTTTATTTTATCATTTTAGTTTGTAATATCTGTATTATTTTTATCATTTTAGGTTGTAATATTTGTATTATTTTATCATTTCAGTTTTTTAGTATCTGTATAATTTCATCATTTTAGTTTTTTAATATCTGTATTATTTTTATCATTTTAGTTTGATAGATCTGTATTTTTTTATCATTTTAGTTTGTAATATCTGAATTATTTTATCATTTTAGTTTGTAATATTTGTATTATTTTATCATTTCAGTTTTTTAATATCTGTATTATTTTTATCATTTTAGTTTGTAATATCTGTATTATTTTATCATTTTAGTTTGTAATATCTGTATTATTTTATCATTTTAGTTTGTAATATCTGTATTATTTTATCATTTTAGTTTGTAATATCTGTTTTATTTTATCATTTTAGTTTGTAATATCTGTATTATTTTTATCATTTTAGTTTGTAATATCTGTATTATTTTATCATTTTAGTTTGTAATATCTGTATAATTTCATCATTTTAGTTTTTTAATATCTGTATTATTTAATCATTTTAGTTTGTAATATCTGTATTATTTTATCAGTTTAGTTTGTAATATCTGAATTATTTATCATTTTAGTTTGTAATATTTGTATTATTTTATCATTTCAGTTTTTTAATATCTGTATTATTTTTATCATTTTAGTTTGTAATATCTGTATTATTTTATCATTTTAGTTTTTTAATATCTGTATTATTTTTATCATTTTAGTTTGAAATATCTGTATTATTTTATCATTTTAGTTTGTAATATCTGTATTGTTTTTATCATTTTAGTTTGTAATATCTGTATTATTTTATCATTTTAGTTTGTAATTTCATAATAAAATTCGTATCATTAAAAGAGGACATCGCTTTCCATAAATGCCTAGTATCATTTGTGACACTGTATTTTTAGTGCTTACAATTATTTAATTAATGGATGAAAATCGGTCACTGGTGTTTCGTTACATGTACATATATCATTAACATATGTATTATAAGCGACAACTAAAAGTTAGTTCAGGAGTAGTACGCCAATTTAATGCGGATTTCTTTGCCTTGCAAAATTAGAATAAAAATTCTCTTGTTTAGGGTTTATGTCGACTCAATTTGAACTCAATGCATTAGATTCTTTAATAATCAATATCATGCAAATGAGAACAACATAAACATAAAATGAATTGTTATTTTTATTTTCAAGAATGCAGTGTTAATAACTTTCACATACTTATAGTACAAGTATTTTATTACAAATGTGAGTACAGGAATTGTGTGATTTGGAAAAATATAGAGACTCTACTATAAACTATTTTTCGTACGTGACATTTGGTATTGTGTTTGATTATCTAACTACATTGTGCTTTAATCGATGGTGTAACAACTGTTCCTAAATAATGTTTTCTAGATCATGTAATGAAAGTTTACACAAATATAGAAGTGAACATATTCTGAATTTAAACATGAATGTTAGAAACAGCCTTAAAATTGATTATATCTAGTAGTATTTCCATTTAAGCATATACACGTTGTGTAAGAAGTAATACCCTTTAGATATAATTTCTTTCTCCTAAATCAAATAGTTTCTAATTTTACATTCACAACAAAACATCGTTTTGAATCTTAAAGGCGTTAGTGATAACTTATGTTTAACTAGCTGTAATATATGTTACAGTGTATTTAATACATTAAAGTCCAGAGGGCACTGACCTACGTACTAGATATATATCATTCATTTTGAAAATTTTGTGCAATGAAACATGAAGGGAAATAAGGCGTTGGCAATGCCTTTTCAAACGTTAAAATTTATTTTTTAAACTAATTCACATTTCTTTTATCAATAAGACCTACGTGTAAATTGACATTTAAGGATTTTCTGTACATTATTATTCTTTTTACATTGCGAAAAATATCGCTTACAATGGTGTAAATATTGAATTATTCATTTTACTTTTAACTTAGGATACCAGCTAAGGAGGAAAATAGCTCAAATAAAGCGTTCAATCAATTTATCGAAGCCTAATGAAATATCAAGAATATTCGAATTTATAACAAACCGAGAAAAATATTTCAATTTTTGTCAAAGGCAAATAATTCCGTACAAATTTGAACTCTAGTTTGCAGTGTTTAGAGGGTTATAAATATCAAATTGTTTGCGACATGATCCTTGGATAAGTGGATTTCAAACATATTTTCACGAAAGATTCTTTTGATTTTTCATAAATGGTACTTATATTGCATAAAAGGTCTGTGTTTTATTAGCCAAAAATATACAGACTTATGGCCGGGAAGGAAGAGAATAAAATTCAATTTTGGCTTGTCTGTGGATTTCTGGTAGGTGTGCTTTCCACACCAATATTGCTTCTTACGAGCCTGTGCTTTGAAAAAAATCGCTTGAGATCCCTTTTTGGGAGATATTATGTTATAGCTCGTAGAAATGGTTCATTTTGCAAAGAGGGTGTTGCAGTTCTTTTGTTATTTTCCCTAAAGTTGTAGCAGTTCAAAAGAAAAATTTCAAGTAACAGAAAACGGTCTTAAATTTTTTTCAGATACAACGGTATATACAGCACAATGTAGAACAATATTTAGAAACTGCATATCGACTGCCAATTTGCCATTAAATGAAGTGTAAATTAGCCACTTAGCAAAATAAGTCAAATTTTCTGTTTTTCAAATAGGGAATCCCCATTGTTCTGAAAAATTGCCTCCTTGAAACAGAATGAATTTGATATATATATATATATGCAAAAAGAGACAGGATTTTTCTTCAAAACTGCCATTTCAGATTTTTGTTTCAAAGAGGCATATTTTTCAAAATCACAAAAAATCGAATAAAAATTATTATCCATCCGAAATGGAAAATGTGCACATAAAATAGCACATGATACTTAAGTGTCGGAGCTGGTCTAGTGGTAAAGCGTGTGGACTCTTTGCGAAGATTATTTTTCCTGAGAATGGGTTCGAATCCTGGAATGGTTGGTATATACATATTTTTTTTTCTTAAATAATGGAAGTACAATGTAATATCTCTCTTGAGAGAGAACGAGAGGGGGAGATGTCGTAAAGTTAATGAGTAATATTTTAAATGCATGCAGAATTAAATTGTTTTCCTTGATATTGTGATCTAAATCAAATAAGACATATTTAGTGGCGATGTCTTCAAAAATAAAGTACTATCATTTTAAATAATTTAATTTTTTCATACTCATTTCGTTTCATTATTGTTCTGTTAATTAATTGCTCAGATTTGATTTGAAACAACTAAATTGAAATGACTCAATGGAATTTTTTGGATATTGCATCTAAAATGTGATTATTGGACACATTTTATATACATATTAAAAAATATTATCGCATGCTGTCTACAGCACATCTTTCAAAATGATGTGCGAGATGCACTTGCCATTCATTGTGTATTTTATCGTTCTAACTTTTCGCGTGCAATATGGCGATAGTGACCATAGATGTGAAAAAAAAATTACTATCAGGTCGCCAGTCTTTAGGATAGGATAATTTTTATTTATAGTCGGATAAATCAACAAGATAGGAAACACTATGCATGAATTAAACGTAAAATGTGAAATGTTTGGTTATAACAAGCTAGACATACTCGCCGTATAAATGAAGTCATCTAAGTAGCATTATCTATATTTAGAGATAACTCTTCATGCGTCGTGGGTATTTAAATGTCCTTCTCGATATAGGGAATAATCAGGAGTTTCTGCAACACCCTCTTTGTGCATTCTATTTTATCGCTAGCTTATAGAGAAATAAGACAATAAATATCTCGAGCTATTTTTTGATATACAATGTATCGGTTTACATCAATGTACATTTATTACTATATCTGCTTTAAAAATTCTGTTTGATATTAAAGTCGTTCGTAAATCTAAGCAAAAATTGTCAAGTTTATATGTAGCGAGAATAGAATATGAGAGTAGTGTTTAAAATTTTTTATTGTATTACATGTATCTTCAAAAACACATCAAAATTCAAACCTATTTATATTGTGACACGTGACCTTTTTACGAAATTGCATAATTGGTATATCAAAAGATCATGTCAATTAAATTACAAGCATACTAGTAACTAAAAGATAAATATACAGGACTTAATTAGCCTTGAGCCATTCCACCAAGGATTCCTCTTGCTCCGGTGTGAGATGAATGTGACTTCTGTTGCTCTACATCAGCTGGGTGAGGAGATCGACAGGGTCTTGGGACAGGTTCAGGGGGCTCATCAGCTTCTTGGACTGATCTGGTTGGTTTCTTTGGGAGCCGCAACCAGGCAATTTTCGAGTTGCTATTTCTTAACGGGTAATTTTTGTATTTGGCATGGGGGATTCGAGTAGTAATTCGTCTCAAGTGTTGAACAGGAATGAGGAATGGCAAAGATATAGTCCGCGAGTTAAGACAGAATTGTACATTGACTGCACGAGTGCTTTTAATAATGAAAACAGATGATTTTTCAATATCAAGTAAATATTAACATGCTTGGTATCATTACAAAGGTCATTTTAAATGCAGATCAATGGTGGAAAGTTTTTCAAATAACTTAAGTGGTTAAAAAGTTGTGCCACGGTAAAGATGCCTACCGTCAAACTTATATGATACCAAAAATGAATGAATGGTCAGACACTAAGGAAACTCATAAATCTTGTGTAAAAATCATGTGTAAGTCAATTAAAGACAAGAGCAAATCCCTTTAAAACAATTTTATTCTTTAAAAACATTAATTTTTAAGGTTCCTTCCTTCCAGTCCTCTAGTAATTGGTAGGTATACACAGCAACATCCCCATCGTACACTATGTTATACCATGAAGGGTAACCTGGAACCTGTGGAGATACAGAGATAATTTAGAAAATAGTTATATCAAGTTAATAAGCATTAAATTAAGTTTGTAAATTCTGAAGTTGATTTTGATGAGTTAACTGTGTTTGTTGTACTACATATGTAGTTAGGAATAGAAAATTGAATGTGTATAACTTATTAAGGTCTTCCGTCTTTACGGAAGACCTTATAGTGATTCCACTGTTTCTTCTTCTTCTTCTTATTTTTTTGACCAAATTTTGTGCAGGCGTTTTCTCGAAAACTGTTCGGTGGTTTTCAGTGAAACTTTCAGGAAAAATGAGTCATTAAGTGAACTTTGTTCATCACAAAAAAATTTGGTAAATTCTCTTTTGGTTCCAAGTTATGGACTATTTCCTGATTTTTAAATGGACTTTTGTCGCTGAATGTTCTAAAGAACGGCTAAAGATATGAACTGGAGACTTATTGGAGAAGATAGATCATGACCTTTAGATTTGCAGAATCATCTTTTTGTGCGTCGTCTCCACTTCCCGTTGCTACCGGAAGCGAATTTAAAAAAGGGTATTTTTTAACTTTTTTTGGTTTTCAATTTTCTTTTTATAATTTTAGTATATTTAAGAGAGACTCTTTTGTAAATGCTTAATATGCAATTTGTTTTAAAATTGATCAATCCAAACTCTAGATATTCGCATTTTAAAATTTGAAGCGGGTCCAAAATGGCGGCTGTCTAAGACGAGCAGGTTGGCACTCGGAGCTCCTCGGGTGGCTCGTTCCTCGCACACTAACCTCGGACGTCAATAGTTTCTAACATGTTGCTGATACAGTCATGTGATCTCATTTGAAATTCCTCCAAATGTTATACTTTTGAAGTCTGAGTTACTTTGAAACACGCCCAACACTATGTTTTGCTTTCAAAGACTACTTACATGATGTTGTGATCAAAACCAATATCCAAGGAAGAAATGGACAAGAGAAAAAAATGTTTGAAGAACTTTATGTAGAGTAAAATATGAAATGAGTTACAAGGCAGTTTCCGGCGGGGAAATGTAATCGATTTGATGGATATTTCTCCACCAATCACTTCCGAGGTTTTTATGGAGCGTAGCGGAGTCAGTCGAGGATTGCCGATTGGAGTTTACAGAGACATCCGAGTGTCTTGTTGAACGAAACTACCATAAGGATCAATGAAATATGAAGGAATCGATGGATCTTTCAGATTATGAAATGGATAATCTGTCTTTGAAAACATAAATACTCTGACCTCAAATGCAATAAAATGATAATTTGTACGGTATATACAATAATATATATGATAACGGAGACCATTCAATAAAGCATACATTTCAAAGAAAAGGCGCGAAGATTTACTCGTGACGTAATGTATCGTGACTTTTCTTTCATAGTAGAAAAATGGTCTGATGCAGAAGTGCAGAAAAAGATTACAAGGAACGTTTGTATGAAATACAGGTACATGGAATTGCATGGAATAAAAAGTTGATACACAAAGAATAAAGGAAGTAAACAGTATCATCAGTTCATCAGTAAAAGATTATTTGTTATTGTTTAAACTCAAGTAACGAATTCCGATGTGAATCTGCTTGCACAAAATTTGACTAACTAGCTCTCATTCTATAATTCCGCACTATATGAAAAAAACTTTTAACCTCCCTAACTCTCGTTACTTCAGGCAATGATACAAAGTTAACATCGATGATGGCTGGTAAAATTGCGCTTGTTTAGTGGCTTCCATATTGAATTTTCACGAATTTCTTTTATCTCTTTTTCAGCTTGAATTTTCGTGTGTTTTTTTTTCAGAATTGGACGGAAGACCTCTCATTGCTCGCAATGAGTTTCTAGTTACTCTTCTATTTCTATTCTGTTAATATGGATATCATGCATATATACAAATTTTGTGGTATCTAGCAGCAACAACACCCCCTTATATTAATCATCATTAATGACTCACTTGGGAAACAACTTTACCCTTCCACCACTTTTCACAAGCATCTGAATCTACAAACTTGTGTTGAACATTCTTTCCTACCAGAATGGGACTGTGTTCTTGACAGTCTGATTCTTTAACATGTATGGTAAAAGCATGACTAACCAATTTTTTTCAAATTTGCTGCTAATTTTTCTACATTACATTCTTAATTTTTTCCATTCTTCTTGAATGAAAAATTAAGAACATTTTCAAACCCTTCCTTTGGTGGTTTTTGTAGCAGAACATAACGCCTAAAGTTAAGTTGGGCCTCCAATGCTTCCTTCTTTTCGATCACTGAATGTATACTAGCTAGAGCTCTATCTACATCTTCGCCAGTCTGCCATAATCCAAAAAATATTATTTTATATGTAAATTTCTAAAGTTTTGCTAATCTCCTTCTCCTCCTCTTCTTCATTTTCTCATTAAGGGCTTCTCTCTGTTTTCTCCTAATTTCTTCTCTTTTCTCTCTAAATGCTTCCCTTATATTTGGAACATTTTTCATTGCACTGTCCACCAGCTGTTTCTTTTCCTCGTCTGATTTTGTATCTAACCATTGTTTTGTTTTATTAGATGTAAACATGATGTATTGTAAGCCTCTGATGCAAGAATAGACATATTGGGATTTTTTCTCATTAGCTGGTCTAAGTATCCAAAGACAGATTCTGCAAATTTATTATGCTTACTTGTCCCTCTTGACTTCTCTTTCATATCTTCTGCTACATTTTCTCAACATCCACCAGGAAGATGGTCTTTAAACAACCTCTTCGCCACCTCTCCAATAACAGGCAGAAGAATATTTAAATACACAGCCACTTTGTCATCATGATCCCAAGGCTGAATTAATCTATGATAAATAGCATCTCTCTTGACTATAGTTCCGTTCCCAAAAACAAGTGGATCACCTTTCATCACAGCCCCTATGATATTTTAGATAAATCTGAAACAAAGTTCACAAACTGTGAGTAATTTTCATTCATTTCTAAGATATGAATTGATTTGTTTTCCAGAAGGCTCCAGAGAGGACCAGTTAGGTGTCTGCTGATCAGGCCTAATGCTTTAGCTCCTGCCACATATTCTGGAACAGAAATATCATGTGCAACTGCCCTCAAAAGTTTATTGTCTTTATATCCCTCCAAAAACTCTTGAATTTTTTCATGAAGAAAAAATACTGCCGAAGATGATTCAAATAAAACATTAAATTGGTTTCCATGGAATGGTTGCAGGGGGTTTGTCTGTAAGGAGTTCTGTCTTAAAAATTCATTAATGGAATTTGAGAAATCTCTAAATCTGCCAGATTTTTCATCACCCCCCCCCCCCTGGAAAGAGCTTTACAAGCTGTTCTAATCCGACGTGTTGCGCCTGCTTCTTTGAACTGAACTAGGAAAGACTTGTCAAATACTGGAGGACTATCTTCAAAAAAACCCTTCTCTGCTTCTGCTAAAGAGATGTTACAAGCTTCTGCAAAGTGAACTAAGCTATGCAAACCACAAAATAAATTCAGCAATGAGCTAGCTGAGCCTTGGTCCTCATCAGAAAGCTCAGTCCAATCTGTCATCAACTCTTGGAGCACATCTGCCCTAAATTTTTCCAGCAATTTATTAAAGTTCAGTTCCGTACTTGCTCTGTCACTCATTGTTGCTGTTATTTTTAACAAAATCTTCTTTGATGCAAGATAAGTCTTTTCAGATCTATCATCTATATCTCGGAGTATATCCTGAAATACTGCAAGTGTGTCTCTTCCAGATTTTGTCAATAGTTGGCGCAAACCTATAGCTAAAACATACATTCGGCCTTTATTGTCAGATAAATGGTATCCACCAAACTCAGTTCCATATTTCGTGGTTTCATCTGTGTATATGGTCAAGTTTTCTCTGTTTGGAAGACTTTTGCTTAACTGTTTTTGTGCAAGCACAAGTCGTTCAACATTCATATTTTGAACAGTGGAAGCTGATGTTAGTTTGCTGGCTTTAATGTTTACTAGTGCAAGTACAGACTCAATTACTTGAGAACAAACTTGTGAGCTCACATGCAACTGAAGTAAAGAATAAATACAATTTCTCAACTCGACACTGTATTTTTTCTCCTGTTCATCAAAAAATGACACACTGTTTTTTACTCTACCTGTGATCTCTGCTAACCAATTCCTTTCTTCACAAACACTATTCATTTCAGCCCTAGAAGTTTCAAGGTCTTGCGATAATGTACATATATCATTGTCCTTTCTTGAAAGGCTTTCTCTTAGTTCTTGATTAGTTTCCTCAAGGAACTTCTTTTCCTCTGAAAGTTTTGCTATTTTTAATTTTCTGTCTGTCTTTTATTTCGAAGTCGAATGGAACGAAGTATTGCACTTTTTTGTTGTATTCTTTTCTTTAGAACTTTGTTGAGTTTTTTAAATTTTTTTTTATTTCATTCCTATACTGGATAACTTTGGATAAAGGGGTTCTGCTTAATCTTAACTTGTAATTTTCTTTTTGCAGAATGTTAATGTTTTCTTTAGGTTTAGCATTTTCTGATGATAGGCTTTCTACTATCTCTCTACAACATTCATGTTCTAATGGAGACAACTGCTTTGGTTTTTGTAAATGGGTAGTTTCTGTTGGAAAGATTATTTTTGTCTCAAGAAATTCTGTCAATTTATTTTGTGTCCTGTGTTTACTTTTAGAAGCTTGTATTTGTCTTGTGTGTTTTTTACCAATTGTTCATAGACTCAAAAACTTGCCTTGGAGTTGCATGTATGTTGATCATACAGCCATCCCACACAGTTTTTCAGATTTGTATCAGATGTTCTTTCTATCAGATCTTTATTGGTTATCCCTATCTCCATTTTTATTTAGAGTAAGTAGAGTTTGACTGAATAATTCTGATAAAATGTTTCCACTGTTGTATGTTGTTGACAGTAAATTCTCAGTAAAAACTAAGCGGTTGGAAAGTTCTTCATCAGCTGTTTGAACTGCAGTGCAAGTGACCAACTCACCAGATTCAACTGTCTGTGTGTGTGTTTCAACATATTATGTTTTCATCATCCCTTTGAGTATTTTCAGTAATTAAGGAATGTCCCCCACAGAATTTCATGAGCATATATGTATCTACTGAATAGTCTTTTTCCATGGTTGTTTTGAGAGTTTTTAATATAGATTTTTCAAGCCAGTCCAACATTTAATAATAATAATAATAATAAAAACCTTTTTTAGTTTGTTATTAGCAATTTCCTCTTCAACAGAAAGTCATATCATGCTATATATTAAGATCTAATTCTATATATAAGCATGCACTATTGATATTAATAACTGCATGTTATATATATTAAGCACACTATATTAGCACACAGCAAAGCACACTATATTAGCATACAGCAAACAATAAGCACGCTTAAACTTATATGGGTAAATACATACTTGGTCTAAACGTCTTCTCTTTACAGTGTTGCCAAATATAGGACTAGGCTAAAAATAAGAAGGAAAAAAAGTTAGATATGTGGAGTTATGCACATAATTGATCTAATAATTAATAGTATGTAAATTTATTTTTCTGACACTTTAATAATAAAATAAAAAGGGAACAAACAAGAGTACAATACCATCAGAGGCATCAATTCAAAATCTGATGGTGGCTGTGTTGAATCACTATCTGTGTTACTACTTTTATCTTTTTCTGTTACTGTATCACTAAATAGTGATTGCGATCCAAATTCTGATTGTGATTCAGGCTCCGCCTCTGGAAAAGCATCAAACAAATTTAGTGGTATTGCTTCTGATATTGATGGCCAACTTTCAGATAAATCAAATTCACAATCACTTCCACTTGCACTACCACTGGTATCACTTTCAGTCTTATATTTAGGATCTTTACTCCTAAAATTTATCGAGTAAAATATATCAGATGGTTTTAATTTCAAGAAAAAGCAAATATTTCATGCTATTCTTAATAATAAGGGCTTTAAATTACTCATTTCATAAATTTTATGCTATTTTATATCACCAGCTGGAATTTACTCTGCTGTACTGAAAAGTTCTTGCGGGGGATAACTCTTCCCGCCCAAATGTCAATTCGTGTTTTCAACACCAGCGCTCTCCTGCGCATGCATGTTTTGACATCAAACAAATGAAACTTGATGCTAAAATATATAATTATTCTTCCTGAAAATAGCATGTCATTTTATTCGAATTGTCTTAATGATATAAAAATAAACATCTGACGTATTTGGATTAAACACTGATGCTTACATTTTAATTTTCGCCGCCTTCCAAGGCCCTAGGATCTGTCAATTGAAGAGGAAGTTTCTGCTCTTCAATTTGAATATATCGTACATGAAATGTTTCGTCTCCTTAGGGCAAAAACCGAAAAATTCTTGTACCCCTTTTCGAGTCAATTAAAATTGCGATCTCTATATTTTCTCATTTCCGGTGCTGGTTGATCAACTTTGATCCTGTAATTTCGACTCATACATCGAGTTAATATTCATTTCAAGGTTTAAATGCACAAAATAACCTATTAAAAAACAGGTTTACACAGTGGTACATAGGCGACGCGTGCATCGTGTATTGGCTGTTATTGTTACTTTTAAACACACTAAGAACGAGGTGAGGACGAGTTTGTTTTGTTTGTTTGCATGTTGTTTAACGTCCCTCTCGAGAATTTTTCACTCATATGGAGACGCCACCACTTGCCGGTGGAGAGCTGCAAATTTTGTCCTTTACTCGGCACTTACGGCCATTGAGGAGTGAGGGATCTTTTTCGTGCCAGCACCTACTGCGACACGGGACCTGGGTTTATACGGTCTCATCCGAAGGACCGGTCTCCACGTCCCAAAGTGGGATAGGACGTGTTTAACTTTTCCCGAGCTGATTTTGAAATGAACTGACTGTGGACAGGGTACAGACGATACGGACGTATTAATAATGACCGTTTATGAATAAACTAGGATTATTTGGGATAACTTGCACATTCAAACATCCCCACCCCCGGACCACAAGTCTTGTTTTAGAGGCTACCATAGGTCGTTCTTGAAACGAGTTTGGTGTCATGGGGCTAAGAGCAACAACTCCAATTTAATAACGTTTTCTATTTGAAATTTTCACCATGACCTTAATGGTTCACCAATTTTGCCTAAATTTCATATCTTTCAATCTTCGTCACGAAAAAGAAGTTGTTGTTAGAAACGTATGTTCTCTTAATTGTTCAGTTTCCATGCAGTAAGATCATACAAATCTTTTTTATGCCCCCGTATAGTAGATTCGGTGGTATATAGTTTTTGACCTGTCCGTCCGTCTGTTTGTCTCTGTTTGTCCGCAAAAACTTTTAACATTGCTCACAACTTTTGATTGGTTGGAGCTATGACTTTCATGTTTCACATGAGTATACCTTGTGACAAGACCTTTTTTGGGTACCATAATATTTGACCTTTTGACCTTGGAGTTTGACCCAGTTTAACAAAATTTTCCCAGCTTATCCTTGGCCTTAACTTTTGAATGGTTGGTGCTAGGGCTTTTATACTTCACATGTGTAATCCTTGTGACAAGACCTTCCTTTGGATACCAACAACTTTGACCCTTTGACCTTGCCCTTGGTGTTTGACCTACTTTTGAAAAACTTTAACATTGGCTATAAATTTTGAACGATTGGTGTTAGGGTTTTCATACTTCACACGTGTAATTCTTATGGCAAGACCTTCCTTTGGATACCAACAACTTTGACCCTTTGACCTTGGAGTTTAACCTCCTTTTTAAAAACTTTAACATTGGCTATAAATTTGGAACGGTTGGTGTTAGGGTTTTCATACTTCACACGTGTAATTCTTATGGCAAGACCTTCCTTTGGATACCAACAACCTTGACCCTTGACCTTGATCTACGAGTTTGACCTTCTTTTGAAAAACTTTAACATTGGCCATATCTTTTGAACGGTTGACGCTAGGGCTTTCATATTTCACATATATAATTCTTGTCACAAGACCTTCCTTTGGATACCAACAACTTTGACCGTGACCTTGGAGTTTGACCTACTTTTGAAAAAAAATGAACCTTGACCATATCTTTGAAACGGTTGGTGCTAGGGCATTCATATTTTACATGTGTATTTCTTGTGAGAAGGCCTTTCCTTGGGAACCATTAATTTTGACCTTGATGTTCAACTTACTTTTAAAAAACTGTAACCTTTTCCATATCTTTTCAATGGTTGCTTCTAGGGCTTTCTTATTTCACAGGTATATTCCTTGGTACACGACCCTACTTTATATACCAACATATTTGATTTGCATTTGAGAAAGTTTAACCTTCGCTATAAGTTGCCAGACGGGGCATCAGTGTTTCACAAACACATCTTGTTTTCTAATATGTTTGTGGCAGAGTAGGTTTGCTTTTAAAAATAATCATTTATTATGCAAGATGTTGTTATAGTTTTCATTCATCATTCTCATCATTGTACTTTTATCTATTTTCCTTTGCATGTTACAACTAATTATTCTGGCTGGCTGACCACGTCGACCTAAATTTGACATATGTTTTAAGTAGTTTCAATGGCCAAGGGTTTTGCGATAATTTTTCTTTTGTTCAGGGTAGTTCGCAGGGTTCTCACTTCTCGCATGGACAACTAACATTTGGGCTGGAGGACGGTTTTGTCTTGATCTGGTATAATTTATTATTTGGCACAGCTGTGACATACAGATTAATGTACATGCCCATTGACATGATGGTTGAAGGATGCTCCGACAATCCTGCTCAGACTCATGGAGCGTACATCTCTAATTTGAAAGAAAAATTAGAAAAGGCATGTGACATCGCTCGTACAAAATTAAATTTAAAAAATCTAGAATTAGACAGCAAGAAAACTATGACTTACATGTCCACCCATACATGTACAAGACCGGGGATAAAGTGTGGTACTTACAAGAGAGGATTGGAGATGGAAAGCTTGCCAGAACGTTTAATGGACCATATGTCATTACAGTCCCTGAAACGTTCTACTTTCCCATTTTTCCGTTCGCTCACCGTTCGTTCACCGTTCGTTCAGCGTGCGTTCACCGTTCGTTCACCGTGCGTTCACCGTTCGCTCTCCGTTCACAGTTTTGCGTTCACCGTTCACCGTGCGCTCGCGTTCACCGTTCACAAAGCGTTCAGCGTTCGCTCTTCGTTCCGTTCACTTTGCGTTCACCTTGCGTTCAGCGTTCACCTATCGTTCAGTTTTCATAGTCATTCGGAACTCCGAAGTGAAAGGACTTACCTTTTTGTAGGGAATGAGTTACAGGTTTTTTTAATTTAATAACTAACATATCGTGTTTGAAGAATCATTATTTCATGTTGAAAAATATCTACGATATATATTTTTATTATTCTAACTTAGCTGTTAGGTTATTTATTAAATTACTCTGGAAAATAAATGTTGTTATAAGCACATTCTGTACCTATGTAGAACGATGCTGAAATATTAAATATAACTAAGGGCAATGTGCAAATACTTCAAGCACTGCAACATTTTGTTATTTTGTTAAAGACGACAAATCGTTAATGGTGACATAATTACATATGTATGTAAGTCAAATAATTACGCAGCAAAATTACGAAAATATTTATTTCTAACACGGTTTTTTTTTTCAATCACTACAGAAAATATGATCGAACTAGTTCTGAGAGTTATACATAGTACTGCGGATATCCTATTAATTTATTATCTTTGGAGCGAATTAAATTGATAGTGTGGTTAAAGGAAATATTTATTTGAAATGTACTGCACTATAGAATTTTCTCTAATATAATATGTAAAGTCTATAGTTATAGAGAAAAAAAATCTTTCTTCATCGTAACTTTATATGTTTGCCATTCGATATGATTAATCCCCCCCCCCCCTTTTCCCCTAGCTTGGTTACTTAGTCAGTACTGTATTTCCAGAATATTTTAATCAACATTTTTTTAAAAATAAGTTAAGGTCTTTTTTAGAACAAAAATTTCAGTCTCAAAACAAGCATGCATCTAAAAAAGTCGCAAAACAATAGTAGTTTAAAATGTACACGTGTCGGCGGTGGTATTTGAAATTGGCAGAGAGTATGTTTCAAATTCAAGTTTTAATGCCCAATGTATTTTATTCATTTATTATTCAAATGTTGAGATCAAATCTAGAAATGATAAAAATAAATGTTATAACTTGTTGGAAATACTCGCACTTCGTCTTCGATGTGACGAAACTTTCACACCTGCACAGTGTCGAATGATTTTGATTGACAGGACAAGCACGTGGACTTCGTGTGAACTTGAAGCAGGAAAATAAAAACGAGTATGACTGTATGATTTGTTGATAAAAAAAAGTTACTTTCACTGTCTGATATATTTAGAAAAAAATTTCAGAGTTTTTGTTTAATATGGGTACAAACATTTAGTGAAGCCTGAAAGGAGGGGGGGGGGGCTAAAACGGAATCTCTCTCTCTCTCTCTCTCTCTCTCTCTCATTTGTCTGTTTAATAAAAACTATAACAGCATATTACATAAATATCAAGTTCGGAAAATTATAACAAATAATATGAATATGTATCTTTGTATTATCTTGTCCGAGTATAACCACGGCCATCTACATATACATGTAGAAGTCTGCTCAATAAATCATCATGAAAAATAGAAATGACCCATAATATATCATTGTATTAAAAATTTAAAATACGAGCGTATAAATGCAAAACATCCACTGACCTTTGTAATCTTTTTTTTCATTACTTTACACGAAATCGCCCTGACACGGAGATATATGAATGGATGTTACAACCGCTTTAATTCATTCTGTAAGTCAGAAGTTTTCTCTGATTTGTTTATACTTCAGCGTTCGGCAACAATTGCAATGTTTTAATGCGATAAGAATCATGTGATTAAAAACTTAATGTGCATGCATCGTCTTTCTTAGGACAATTTTGGAGAATTTATTTTTTGACTTATTTATTCATTCATTTATTGGTTTACTTATTTATTATTTATTTATTTATTTATTTATTTTTTGGCACCTAACATTTTAATACAATAAAATAGTTTCAATGCAGGGAAAATATCAGAGGCATTCCGAATATATCGTTCATCTTGCGTTCACCGTTCGTTCACCGTTCACTTTGCGTTCGCGTTTGCGCTCCGTTCGCGTTCTGCGTTCGCTCACCGTTCACCGTTCACACATCGTTCACCAAGTTGCGTTCAGCGTTCACACATCGTTCACTCACCGTTCGCTCTGCGTTCGTTCAGCGTTCGTTCACCGTTCGTTCAGCGTTCGCTCACCGTTCAAGTGGGAAAGTAAAACGTTTCAGGGACTGTACAAAGAAACTTTCAGATATAATGTATCAAATACGCATGAAGGATGAAGAAGGCAAAAGACAATACAAGATTGTACATCATGACAAAGAACTGCGAACGATAGTATTGTTCTCCCGTCTACCTCCAAGTCAATTCTCAAAAGTTAACACATTTGAATGATTTTTCATATG